CGCACCTTCAACAAATGTACTTTTCAGTATGGAAAAAAGAAATATTACCAGATGATTGGAACAAAGCAATTCTGCACCCAATTCTCAAGAAAAATGATAGGACATACTGCGACAATTATCGAGGAATCAGCCTACTAGACGTATAAGCAAAAATTTTTGCTTCTCTTTTACTCAACAAACTTATGGCAGTACGGGACAGTAAGATGCGCCCTAATCAAGCTGGTTTCAGATCAGAGCGCGGTTGTGCTGACCAGATATTCACGCTAAAAAGGGTGTTGGAACATCGCTTCAAATATTTGCAACCCACTGTCACTTGTTTCATCGATTTTGCGGCTGCCTTTGATTCAATTGATAGAGCGGCGCTTTGGAGGATGATGGAACGTGATGGTGTTCCAGTGAAAATCATTAGACTCATAAAGGCATTTTATGAATGCACGTCGGCGCAGATCTTTATATATGGGGAGCTGACAGATTCCTTCGAAATAAGAACAGGTGTCCGTCAGGGCTGCCTTCTTTCCCCCACAATATTCATTTATGCAATAGACTGGATAATGGACACTGCTTGTCGGCACTCAGAGGTGTCCAAATCAATCCAGACCATCGTATTACAGACTTTGCACACGCTGATGATGTATTCCTTTTTGCTGATAGTTATAATGAAATGCAAGTAATACTAAATAACGTCAGAAACTGCAGCAAGAATCGGACTCAGGATCAGTGTAAATAAAACGAAAGTCTTTTCGTTTTATATGCAAGAAGCTGATAAAATGCTTTTTGCATTGCCAGTTGAGGAAGTGCCCGATTTCAAATACCTTGGGTCCACTCTAATACCAAATGAACAGGCAAAAGACGATATTATAGTCTGGATCATTGCAGCTAAAAATGCTTTCTTCGGTTGACGAAATCTTTATAGAACCGTCGCGAAATCACCATAAAGACGAGAATCCGCGTTCCTACAGTTGCAATTCGTTCGATCTTGCTATATGGCTGGGAAACATGGCCAAGGAGAGTGGAAGATATTAAGAAGCTATATACCATTGACCACTCTTGTCTAAGGTGTATTTTATGGGTTCATCGAGTAGATAAAATATCACATGATCGCATTTATCTTCGTTCAAACACCACCTGTATTAATAATGTTATCACAGAGTGCCGCCTTCATTGGTTATGGCACATTCTTCATCGTCCACCACAGGAGTTGAGAGGAGTAGAAATTTCGTTATTTACTAAGTCGTGTGATGGTCAAAAGCGAGATGGGCCAATCAAGACCTGAACTGATACGGTGAGAAAAGATATTGAAGAACGTATAGTTAGACCAGCAATATATGGACATAGACGATGGAAAAACGAATGGCTTCCATTACTGTCGATGGTGGCATCAGATCGCACCGTCTTACCCTTGTAGTAGTTAGAGCCGGCCTAGCCAGTAATGGTGAGAGCTGTTAGATGAAGAAGAAGGAAAGAAATAAGAATATTCCTCGTATGATAATTTATGACGTAATTTTATGACGTAATTTTAATCATAATTTTAATTTTATGACAAAATTAAGTAGATATTATTTTCTTATGCAATCGAGTGTTCTAATTTTCTATCAGAGATCAGAATTCAATCCATGAATCCATGATTCTTTAACACCTACGCTTCGAAATGCTAAAAAAATTAAAATTCTCGTAATCATGGATGTCTGATCCACGCTCTTAAACGAAGGTGATTTGTCCAGCAGAAACTATTAAAGTACTATGCCTTCTCCATGGTAATAAATTTTCTGGCCATCGGTAATCATTAGATTCGATGTATTATACATATGTTTTTGTAATAATTTTTTAATAGTATAATTTATGAAGGTTTTAAAACCCAATTCCAGTTGGTCCTGCTTTTTCTAAAGAATCTAAAGAATCTTACACTAATTGTGTAGGATCCGATATTATTACATCGTATTATAATCATAAAATATTTGATTTTTAATTGGACAATACTTTCCGAGACCATTCGAGACTGTGCAGATAGTGGTAAATTTAACAGTGCTTTCAACAAATGATTTTAAGTTGAAAGTTTTCTATTCGTCGTCTTTTATTTGAGCTGTTAATTTGCACTGTTAGAGTATTCAGCAACTTTTATTAAAATTACCTAACATTCCATAAGTGAAAAATGACATATAATTAATGAGCGATTTCATTTCCAGACAATAAAAAATAGAAAATTTAATAAAAATCATCGCACGATTGAAAAATACTAAAAAGAATAAAACTGCTGAATAGCCAGATAAAATGAGAATTGAAATTATAATCTGAAATTTTTCAGATAAATTCATCAAATTTATCAGAATAAGTAAAGATATATATGTATATAAATATTATATAAAAGAAAGGATTCATTAATAATAATACTAATGACAATAATAAATAATAATTAATAGTTTTTATAATTATAATAGTAATAATAAAAATTAACAACAATAATAATGTTTGCAGTTATGAGAATTCAAAATTAATTGAAAAATAAATACCTTCGTTGCTGAACCAATATTGCTATATCGGAGCTAAAATTCATTATTATTATAAAAGAAATCGTCATTATAAGGAAATCTAGTGTCTTCCTCAATATTTCAATTCATTACCAGTGCAAAAAAGATAAGAAATTTTAAAAGAATGTAAATAAAAATCTTACTGCATTATACAATTTAAAAAAAAACAAAAGACAAAAACAAAATTTAATCTTTTATAATACATAAAATTTTGTACGCAATGATCTAGAATAACTGAAATCCTATGGAAAGAATTACCTCCAGGCAAAGGCTATTTAGAGGCTATAATCTTCTCTTAAGAATGGGATATGAGATGCTGCCAAACATAATGAAAGCTGTTATAGAAAAAGGGCTGGACTCATTCGAGTGGCATGACTTGATCATGCTCCGATTTCCATCCATCACCAGTGATTTGATTAACATGAAAGGAGTAGGTCTGCCACAAAATACTACTACCCGTACTACCGATGGTGCATGAGTGGCGCAAATAAAGTACAGAAGCGATCTGACAAGAATTCTAACCGTATTAATGGTCAAAATCGTTAGTACTCAAAAATAAATTTTTCTTTAAATTAATGTAGAAAGATAGCGAAGTTATTAGAAAGAAAAAAACCATTTGAAATGATATCGGAAAATTTTAAGCAATGGAAAATTTTCCATTTTCGGCATCTGAGAAATCATAAAAAATGAACATAAAAAAGATATACGAACCTTAATGCCATTCACCAATTGCTGAAAAAAATCATTATTATTAAAAATGGAACATATACTTTTTAGAACAGTCGCAAAGCGATAAAAGCAGGCATATGTCTAACTTTCGAAAATCGCGCAACCTTTTTTTTCTTATCGGTACATTTCATTTTATTGCAGGTACTTATCCATTCATTAAGTCAAATACGTTAATTATATTCTAATGGCGAATCTAACAATCTACCGTCTGAATAATTTCTCAAACGCCTAATTTCTCGGTCATTCCATTCTCATTTCTTCGACTTCGAAAATTATTCCCGTCGATTAACGATAAGTCAATTGAAATAAGCTTCGAATGGCGGCTTCAAAGTAGAGATTTTTGCTTTCGTCGTTCTACGACATGTATTTGATGCGAATTTTCATCAAACTTAACAAGTGATAGCAAGAAAGCAAAGAAAGCAAAAAAAGGTGAGACTGCTGAAACAGTCGAAAGAAAATAGTTTTCTTTTTACAGCAGCAAGCAAATCTAGCCGAATAGCCGAATGTTAAATAAATGTATTTGATGCAAATTTTCATCAAACTTAACAAGTGATAGAAAGAAAGCAAAAAAAGGTGAGACTGCTGAAACAGTCGAAAGAAAATAGTTTTCTTTTTACCGCAGCAAGCAAATCTAGCCGAATAGCCGAATGTTAAATAACAGTATTGTTATAATAACATAAAAAAGTTTTTTGCGGAAATTTCTGATGAAAAATATCGGCAGAAACGAAAGCATATGGAAAGAAATCATACCTCCAGGCAAATCACCTGAAATTGAAAATAACTGAGAATAACTGAGCTTATTTTCTTAAGAGCCCTCACCATTACTGGTTAAACTCGCTGCACTGGCTTGTTGCATTGAGCAATATGCCAGGGAGCCCCTTGGCGATAGAATTACAGGTGAGTGGCTAGCATCACCCGGATTTTTGTATAGAATTGCTCCTGCGAGAAATCGAACTTCAGCTGTTCTAAACTGAGCAATAACCCACCGAGGCATCCCATCCCCCCAACTGAGCTTATTACTCATAAATTTTTATTGCTCAGTCATTGCATTTTCAATTGACTTATCGTTAATCGACGGGAATAAAATTTCGAAATCGAAAAAATGAGAGATCGAAGGTTTTAACAGAAGAATATAAAGAACTGTAAGAAAAACTGTAATATTTTATGGCAGTCATGGAGTAGCTTCATAATAAAACACTTTCTTTTTTATAAAATTGTTTTCATTTGAAATTTGGAATCAGAGGACCAAAAATCTCAGTGGAAAACAATTTCAGAAATTTATTAGTATTTCGAAATATTTCATACAATAAAAAATCATTGGGTCTTTGATAAGCTAAATTGAACAATATTTTGATAATTTTCCGAAACACTTTCCGAAAAAATAAAATCTTACAAGAAAAAATTCCATTATAGAAGATCTAATGGTTTCAACGACCGATTTATATTCCCAATAATTGGAAATGGTTTAAAATGGTGGTAATTTTTTTTTTTTATAATTCGTTTATGAAACAAAAATTTTTTATAAGAGAATTCGAATGCTTACTGAGATTATTAAGACCATTTTTTAATTTTATCCTTTAGCACATATTATTCCATCAGCACGTATTATGTCTTCTTCTAAATGTCTTCTCATCATTACTGGTTAGGCTGGCTACAACGGCTACGAGGGTAAGATGCTTCCAAGCGGCGATAGTAATAGAAACTATTTCTTTTTCTATCGTCTAAGTCTATAAATTGCTTGACCACTTATACGTTCAAAATCTTTCTTGACCGCATCAGTCTTGATTGACCCATCTCGCTTTTCTTTTCTTTAACGCCATCACAAGGTCTAGCAAGTAACGAAATATGCGACAATTCTTGTGGTGGACGATTGAGAATATGCCCAACCACCGAAGGCGACGCTCTGTATAACATTATTAATGCAGGTGGTGTTTGAACGAAGGTGGACATGGATACGATCATGTGATATTTTATCTGCTCGATGAACCCGTAAAATATACCTTAGACAAGAGTGGTCAATGGTAGATAGCTTCTTAATATCTTCCACTCTCCTTGGCCATGTTTTGCAGCATTTCTAGCCGCCATGATCCAGGCTATAATATCGTTTTTGCCTGTCCATTTGGTAATAGAGTGGACCCAAGGTATTTGAAATCGGGCACCTCCTCAACCGGCAATGCAAAAAGAGGCATTTTATCAGCTTCTTGCATATAAGACGAAAAGACTTTCGTTTTATTTACATTGATCCTGAGTCCGATTCTTGCTGCAGTTTGTGACGTTATTTAGTACTACTTGCATTTCATTATAACTATCAAAAAGGAATACATCATCAGCATGTGTGAGTGTAATACGTGAGTCTGTAATACGATGGTCTGGATTGATTTGGACACCTCTGAGTGCCGACAAGCAGTGTCCATTATCCAGTCTATTGCATAGTTTATTATGGGGGGAAGGAGAAGCACCTGTTTTTATTTCGAAGGAATCTGTCATCTTCCCATATAGATAGACCTGCGCGTGCGTTCATAAAATGCCTTTATGAGTCTAATGGTTTTCTCTGGAACACCATCACGTTCCATTATCCAAAGCGCCACTCTATCAATTGAATCAAAGACAGTAATGTCGATGAAACACGTGACACTGGGTTGCAAATATTTGAAGCGATGTTTCAACCCTTCTTAACGTGAGTATCTGGTCAGCACAACCGCGCCCTGGTCTGAAACCAGCTTGATTAGGGTGCATCCTGCTGTCTCGTACTTCCATAAGTAAAAATTTTTGCTCAGACGTCTAATAGGCTGACTCCTCGATAATTGTTGCAGTATGTCCTATCACCTTTCTTGTGAATTGGGAGCAGAATTTCTTTGCTCCAATCATCTGGTAATATTTCTTTTTCCTATACCAGAGAATACATTTGTTGAAGATGTGTTCTGAAGAATGATGGACAACATTTAAAGAGTTTAGCCCATTTTTATCTTGAGACATCTTCTCCCAGAGTCTTATTGGCCTTAAGCTTATGGATAATAGATATTATTTCTACTTCGGTCTGGGAGCTCGTAGTTGCAAGCATTATGGTTCAGCAAACGCATCACTTATATCAGAGGCAACAGATGGCTCTTCATGTTTAAGTTTGGCCTCAAAGAATTCTTTCCATCTTATAAGGCGGCTTAACACAAATGTCAGAGAATCTCCTTTCATTTACATTTTTAACTCACAGAAATTGTTACATATAGCGTAATATAAATAAATAATTTTAATGATAACATTGATAACACCAAATAATAATAGTAAAAAACAGATATTCCCGAAAACGTCTTGGTAATTCATCTGATACGTTTCCATTCCATTTTTGTTTTTAATTGTCAAAAGTATTTTCATTTCTTTACCAAATTCCTTGTAGTGATTTCTTTTACTAATTTCCTTGCAGTGATTTCTTTCATAAAAAGTTCCTTTTTTAGAATTAAATACCCAATTTTTACTAATCTGAAAACTTTTTACATACTGAAAACTTCAAATGTCTCATATTTGGTGTCCGATAATCCACCTAAATTTTCAATGCTTTCATTTGATTAATTTTTGAGAAATGAAATTCGAACCTGGTTTTGTACCTTTTCGAACTGCAAAATCAAATTTGCAGCCACTCATTTTTTGTAATACTCATTCATTTTTTTGTAGATTCTTTAAAATATAAATTTATAAATGAGCACAAAGAGTGAGACGATATTTTTTTAAAAATTGGATAACATTTGATAATGCTGTGGTAAGTGTCCAAAAAGGCGCTTTAGCGTTTCTATGGTACTTTCTAGGTACGATGCCTAAAATTTTATGCAAACCGAACTGAACACATATGAAAACATATTTTTACAAATAAAAATTTTTGAGCAAAATGGAATTTAACCATTTAGAGAAAAAGTTCGTTTTCTTCTCCAAACTTTTAACAAATACGATCACTAATAAAATCTATATTAGGTAATTTATCGCCAGATACTATTGTGAAATGACACATAAAAAATTTAGACAATTTATTCTCTAAGTTGTTGAAATCTCTATATAGCTTCAGAGACTAAGGAAAACTTTCCTGGAATTAAAAATAATTATGATTCATAAAATTTGAAGGAATAATATTAGAAGAATAATAACCTTTACATTTATAAGGAACGAGAATGGAATTAGAAGCCAATTACTTACTAAAAGATATGATAATTTGGATCTTTCTCTGAAGTCTATTTTTAATTTTCTATTTAAATTCTATTTTGCTCAAAAATCTTTTTTTATAAAAATATGTTTTCATTTGAATTTATTAGAGGACCAAAAATCTCGGTGGCAAAAACAGTTTCAGGAAGTTTATTAGTGTGTATTTCGAAATATTTAACGCAATAAAAAATCATTGGATCTTTGATAAGCTAAAATGAACAATATTTTGACAATTTTCCGAATCACTGTAAAATAATCTTGCAAGAAAAATTTCATCACAGTCTATCTAACAGTCTCAACATCCCAAATTGTAAACAAATAGAAAAAAAATGCAAAAAGCAAAAAGTTGAAAATGTTGGCAAATTTTTTTCTCTTATAAAATCTATGTAACCATTTCTTATAGAATTTATTTACTTATTGGGATGGTTAAGTATTAAGATAAGGTGTTAAGATAAGATAAGATCTTTTTTCTACTTATTCCTTTGTCAGACACCATTACTCTTTGGGTTAGTCCTCCTGATATCTGTCAGAGAAAATCTCTTATCATTCCCATTCTCACAAATTTTTATATATATAAATGAATATTTTAGCAATATAGTAAAACAGACAAACATTCTCACACATTTCCATCCATTCCATTTTCGTTTTTCAATCTCAAAAGTTATTTTAAATTACAGATTTTTAAATTACAGAAAAAAACAAAAATCGAAAAAAATCCAATTCTCCTGTTTTATTTCAATGTTTTCTTTAAAAGAATTCCTTCATTTTATTTCTTTTTTTGTAGATTCCTTATTATTTCCTCTGAAATCTGTAAAACAGCTTTAAAAGAATTTCGAAAGGTGGAAGGCCCGTTCGAATTAATCTTTTTATCGATAAACAAGAATTTCGTAATCATTTAAATAAAATCAAAGCAGCAGTTTCTTATATTTTCAATACAAACCAGTATTCTGATACTCACTATTTCGGAATTTCGATTACCTCATTTTGGACACCGTCTTTTGCACTGCCGATATTGTTTGCCACAAAATATTTCATCATAGAGCTGATCAAACTTACTTCGAGTTTCTTTAGGTACCAGTCTAATATTCATAATACCAACTATTGCCGTAATTCGTGATATATGTCCAATTCAGTCGATCCTATTTTCTTTATATTCTTTCATTTGGATACGAGATATAATGGAAAACTTTCATCGCTCTCTGGGTTGTTCATCGATAGATACAACCATTTTTTGGCGACTTATTTTATTTGCTTCCTAGCAGCATCATGCCTTTCAGATCGTCATCTTAATCTGCTTTAAAGGATTTGCAGAGCACTGAAGATAATTTCTTCTTAAACATTTAACCATTTTGCCATTCACTGGTTGAATCTATCTCACTCATAATTTTAAAATAAATATAATTCGAATTCATCTCCAGTTTACGACACCATAGTTGGTTTTTCGCCATTCGAAGACAATTCGCTTTGCTAGCCGTGAATACAATGATGCAATAATGTGCTGTTGCAATTCCTATTTCTATGCCACGATAAGACTACACGATTCATAGGATTTTTAAACTGAAAAAATATATGAAAATGAAAATTGCAAGTGAAAAAATGAATCCCATTCCACATTTTAAGTATTATATTTATTTAAAATTTTATGAAACTTATGAAATTTTCCTGGCGGCTTTATGTTATCAATTGTTTATCAGATTGCTCTTCGAGCGATATTTTTGAATTATCAGAGGAAATGTGAAAAAAATTAAATCTATTTATGATATTTATGAAAAAAATAAATTTCCACCAGCAAAACAGACAAAAAGAAAGAAAACAATTTTTTCTGAAATTCGATATTTTCTGATATTTTATTTGATCGCTTATTTGATAAAATAATAAATAGCTTATAATAATAAATAACAAGTATTTTTAATAATGAGATGCAGAAACGAATTCAAAAAGAAACACTGACTAAAAGCAAGGGTTTTCTGACTATCACTGTCAAGCCAAATTTGGCTGCATTTCGACAGAATTTCGCAACTTTACCAACAAAAAGCAAAACATCTTTGCAATCTTAAATTTTGAATTTATAAGAAGACATAAAGAATGAAAGCCAAATTGGCATATACATATTTTCAAAGCATTACTCGTGGAAAAAAAATCGCTAAATAGTTTTTAATATCCTTTTATCTTTTCAGCAATTAATAGAAGTGTAGAAAAATTAGTTTAGAAAGTAAACGATGAAAAATAAAAAGAAAAAGAGAAAACTGAGCAATAAAACGGATGGAATTAGTGAAAACGTTGTCAGTAAGAAGAAGATTCTTTTTCAAATTATTACAGCCACATTTTTATTCACAACGACTTCGAGCACCACGTTAAATTATGAACTCCAATTATTGAAACAGAAGAGAATATAGGAGTGAGAAATAAATGAAAAAACAATTAAGTGAAACGGCATCAAAATAAAAAATCAGTGAGCTTGTGTTATGAAATTCAAAGCCCAACACTTTAAAAACTGATTCAATATTCATACAATGGAATGAAATGCAATCGAATTTCAGACAAATGATAACGAATGAAATGAACTCAAATGATAATCCAAATTTTCTTACAAAAATTCACGTACAAAACCTCATAAAAGGATAATGGAAAAAAAACTTATTCAGTTAACAAATTTTCAAAGCTGTCGACACAATGCACCGCTTAGCACTGATTTCAATTTTGCTATCCTTCTTGATCAGTAAGTTTCTCATTTTTTCCTACAACAACTTCTAATTTATCAGAAAAGTACCATAAAT